AGAGAGCGCTTGGTACGCTGAGGATGGCGGGGTGGGAACGGTAGTTTCGGACTAGTAACGTGAATGGTGGGTATGTGATCGGTAACATTGACTGCTTCAGTACTGGTGGGCCAGATGATGGCTTGATCTTTGAGCGCGAGAGAGGGTGGTTTTCGTACAGCGGTCGTTGGAAAAGCCGGGCGAACAAGGACCTGCGTACTAGAAGGTTACGTGATGCAGTTCGTGGCCCCAGCTGCTTCTCATCTCCTGCCATCACTACGCGTGGTTGGGGCAGCGAGGTCGGATACGTGAAAGGCGGGCATACAACGCTAATGGCAGGCAAGACGTCTAGTTCAGTAGCTTGAGCGGCCTCATCTATGAGTAGGACGCTCCAATGTAGTTTCGGGGTGGGTAGTTCATCGTCCGGGTTGAAAGCTGATAGCATGTTCCTTTGCATGGTCCATAGGTCATTGTTAGTCAATCTTGCGTCTGCAAGTATCGCCGCGTCCTGACAAGAGGTAACCACGACATTGAAAGCCATGAGCACTCGAAACGGCGGCAAGTAGAACATATCGTTTTCGATATGGCAGTACTGCAACAGCTCTCGTGGTACCTCGTTATCAGCCCTTCCTGGTCGGTTAAGTCGAAATAGCTCTTTCGGTGAGAGGTATTCCTTCAGTCTTAGAGCGAGAGTGTCCGCCGCTGCCTCCGATGGAGCGCAAATAAGCATGTGTGCGACATTTGTAGTGTTCAACAGTTGCATTGCCGTCTCTACCAGAGTCTTTGTCTTTCCTGTACCTGTCAAGGTTGAGATAACAAGTCAGTGTATGTCCTAGATGCAATTCGTACAGTTGTTCCCTTACCTGGCGGTCCACTGATCAAGTAAGGCACAGTTCCATATACGTTGGTACATATATCGTTGACAGCATGCGCTTGTTCGTAGTTGATAGCGCGATCGAAGAGCTTGCGATGGGGAACTTTGCGAAGTGTTGTTTGAACTTCGCCATGAGCTTCATCAGGGAACAGAATTTTGAGACTCCAGTCGTTGTGAGACTCTTGGGATGCGGTTCTTGCGGCATCGGCGTGAAGTGTGGCATATTTGACACCGGGCGATTCGCCAAAATGATTCAGTTCACTATTCGAGGATGGGTAGCCATATGTTCGTGGGGAGAGGCCGACGAGTCTCAGCTCAGAGCTGAGGTGGAGCAAAGCTCTTCGCCGCCTTTGAAGAATGTTGAAGTTCAGTGGAATGACGACGTTAGCGAACATACGCATTGGCGATGCCGGCGGACAGAGGCCATCTGCTTTGAAATAGACTGTTTCTTGCGCACGGTTGACACCGAAGACTGCGGCATTGTGCTGTACGCCTGTCCAGGGCCTGAATGCTATCGAAGGAGATCCCATGTATCCGAATTTGTAATCATCCACATAATTTGGCATCAACTTCAAGGCTCCTGTTTCATTAACATATAGTTGACGTATCTGAAGCACATCGCCCATTTCAATGTGTGGGTTATCTTCTCTTAGTCCTGGCACCAGCAGGCACCACCACCCCTCCAACGGATGGTATTGCCAGAGTGGGACTTGATACATCGCGTATGATTCGTTCTCCTTTTCCTTCGCTACACGCTCCATAGCGGCCGATACGTCGAAGTGTTGCAGATAGGTGGACGCATTGAGCGACGTGGGAAAATCCGCTGCTGACCTGACTGTATGATCTTCAGCTTCCGCGTAGGGTGGCGGTATAAAACTTGTTCCAGTGAATGTATGCACGTAATTCTCAAAGTCGATCCAATGACTAGGTCTTGTGTTGATGATGGTAGCCACTTCGGTGTTGATTGCCTGGAGACCTGGTGGAACGAAAGGCGCGGCGTATACATCATAATCCCATGCAATGTCAGCTGGATCACTCTCGGAGGTATCATTGTTCCGGGAAGTTTCTGGTATACCTTGGTCCGTCGGTGAGACTTGCTGCTCTTTTGGCCTGAAAGCGATATTAGGAACGGCTACAAGCTTTGATATGTCCGTTTCCATGGTTTTACCGTGCTTGTGTTGACCTCCATTCATGCCGGAAGAATTGTGCGACCGGGTGGTCGCTTGGGGCATCGCGCTATCGGTTGTCGTAATGCTCTGTGTCTGCCAGCAGCAGTGTCGACCAGGCGCGCCTGCTAGAGCCTTTGAGCCACGCCGTCCCTGAGCCTGTAAGGATCGGAAAATTCGAATGACTTCCTGGGTCGATTTCGATATCACGGAATGTTTCCGCCAGAGATGGCGCGAGGTACCTGCTATTGCGCACGAGCACTACGGCGCAATATGATCCCGAGCGGTAGATTGAACCCGGAGCTGGCCCGCAGTGCTACAACACCCTAATATTCCAACAGAAATGACTAGGAGATATCATCTGGTGTATAGAAGTGCAAAAGTCGTCCCAAATATTAGACTCCGTAGTTCACCATTTTGGAAATTCAATGAACTGCGGACGTTCGTTTGGCTGGATCGTGCGTGTTAGGAAGCTGAGGACCGAGGAAGCAAGCCGCATCAAACAGCACCGATAAACATGTTGCGATGTATACTTCCAAGAAATGGATCCCAATCGCGTCAATAATTGGCGCCGTTGTGGCAAGAGGTGTAGGTGTAATGTCGCGTAGCAGTCGTGGCAATCAGCCCTGCTTAGCGCGGCGCTAAGGCTCCGACCCAAACGCGTACCTAGGTACGCGCTTCGTTTATCTTCCAGCCACCCACTACGACTGGAGGGACGATGTCTGGATTTGATCCACGATATCGCATGTCGCTACCATATCAGCAGCTTGGGAGTGTTTATCTTCTCTCGTAAGATCACTGATCAAACGCAGTGTGTTGTCTCGACGCGACTAGACGCGCTATCACAATTCCGACAGCCCTACTGATGATAGTAAAATATGCGTACACTACGCGAAAACGATGACAGAAGCATGCGCTGTTCGACTGGAGAATCGCATATGTCATATATGTATCCACCCGTATGTTGTGCGGCACTGCTGCTATCGAGATCGATCTCGCTGCACTTCCCCGCAATACGTCATGATCCGAGGTCGTACAGGTGGACACCAATTTGTCGAACATGCCCCATCTGGAGAATAACATCTATTTTACTGCTTTGCGACCGAGCGTTATCCTCCCTATTATCCACCACATTTCCTCTACACAGCTTTATTCAAAATGTCCAATCAGCAGCTAGTCGAAAGCAAAGGCATCTTTCACGGCCTACCTGTATACCCCTCGTCGTTGAAAGGGCTTACAGCCATTATAACCGGTGCGAATGGTATCTCTGGTAACTATATGCTGCGTGTGCTAGCGCAGGATCCCGAGCGATGGACGAAGATTTACTGTTTGTCACGGCGACCACCCGCGATTCCCGATGGACTGCCGAACAATGCCGAGCACATACCTCTCGACTTCCTGCAGGACTCAGAAGATATCGCGAACGTGCTGAAGCAGAAGGGCGTCAAGGCCGATTACGTTTTCTTTTACTCGTATGTCCAAGTCAAGCCGAAAGAGGGTGGTGGCTTGTGGAGCGACGCCGAGGAGATGTGCAAGGTGAACAGTACGTGTTGGCTGATCTATCATATACCAATGCTCTGATACTGACCCGCCGTAGCCGCCCTCCTCAAGAACTTCTGCGAAGCCCTCCCCATAGCCAACATCAAGCCAAAGCGCATCATGCTCCAGACCGGCGCAAAGAACTACGGCATCCATCTCGGCCCAGCAGCTACTCCCCAGGAAGAAACAGCACCACGCATCACTCTCGAACCCAACTTCTACTACCCACAAGAAGACTTCCTCTGGGACTTTTGCAAAAAGCAGGGTATCGACTGGAATGTATGCATGCCGGCGGGCATCCTCGGCGCTGTGCCAGACGCAGCAATGAACCTTGTTTTTCCGCTGGGCGTCTACGCAAGTGTACAGAAACATCTAGGCGAGAAGCTTGAGTTCCCGACTGATTTGCAAGCTTGGGAAGCGAATAGGTGCATGTCGAGTAGCAAGATGAATGCGTATATGGAGCAATGGGCTGTGCTGACTGATGGGGCGAAGAACGAAAAGTTCAATACTATGGATGGTACGACCTTTACGTGGGGCAATTTCTGGCCGAAATATGCGGGTTGGTATGGCATTGGCTATGAGACTCCCAGCCTGGACGATAGCGCGTATACCGTCATTACTACAAAGCACGATCCGCCTCCGCGGGGTTTCGGGCCACCAGCGAAGTTACGCGTGCGGTTCACGCTGACGGATTGGGCAAAGCAAGAGAAGGTGCAGAAGGCATGGGAGGAGATCATTACTAAATATGGTCTCAAGGTAGACAAGCTTCAAGATATGGATATTGATCGCATCTTTGGCTTTACGGATGGAGGACTGATGGGGTCTTCATTGGATCTCACGATGAACAAGGCGCGGAAGATGGGTTGGCATGGGTTCGTGGACTCAAACGACGCTATCAAGGAGGTGCTTGGAGAGTTTGCAGATCTCAAGATGATTCCTCCTCTAGGGGCGTAGTTATGAGATAGACTAGGTCATGTTTTTTGTATTATCCGACCTCCTATATGCATTCACCCTCAACCACGCGCCAGACGTAACGTCTGCACCGTGCAAGACAGATCGAGCTTGAGTCCAGACCAGCTCATACCAAGGCTACATCGTAAGGCACTGCGACGTATACCCAATATATGCCCATACATTGCCATCCCTTCCAGCCAGCCTACCACATAAAATCCTCTCCGTCACCAACCTCCAGTCCACTCATCCCCATTCCATTCCCATTCCCACCAATATCCTCGCCGGCGGGCACCAAGCTTCCAACCCTTAAATCCCGCTCACTGTAATGCATCTCCTTCTTAAACCGACACTTCTTAACCCCCCACCCCTCCCCCTCACTACACCCGTCCCTCTGGCAATGATGCCCGTAGAAGCAATCCCCCCTCCTACACGCCCCCTTCCTCGGACAAGGATTACACTTGACCACATACTCCAACACCTGTCTTACTTCAGGCTCCAGTTCGCTGTGATCGAAAGGACAGTTTGGAGTGGTGCAGCGCTGTTGGAGGTGGAAGGTGTTGCAGGGTTTCGCTTTGGCGAAGCGCGCGTTGTAGATTTTCCAAGCGGAGGGAGGGGTCGAGACGTTGATGGGATGTGTTTAGGGGAACGAAGCCTGGGATTGGGGCGGCGGGGAGGAGGGCGGAGAGGGGAGTTTGGGAGGAGGACTGTTGTTGCGAGGAGAGGGGTAGAGACGGATACGGAGCTCCTGAGGGCCCTCTCGGGGGCTGGGAAGGACCGGAGCCGTTTGCGTCGGAGTGGGTCTTGGGGATGTGGAGGAAGTTGCATTTGTTGCCGAAGCGGCAATTGCCTTTTTGGAAGTACTTGCATAGCTGCGAGTTGTTTTCTGGTTTCGAGGGGTTCTTGGCTGTTTGGGTGTATGCGGAGCGGTCTTCCCAGCCTACTCGTTCTTGTTCGAAGAAACTGTTGGATTCTACCGGGGATAGATCGCCGAATGCAGAGTCGCTCATGCTGAACGAGTCGTCTCGCCTCCACGATTCTTTGCGCGGAGTTGGCGTTCCGGAAGTGAGTATTGGTTTCTGTACTGCGGCTAGTGCCTTTTGTTTGGATAGTGTAGCTGGACCGCCTTTGGTTGTAGGTACAGCAACGGGAAGTTCGGACCATCTAAATACAGTCGGGAATTGTGTGACATTCAAGTTGAACTGGTGGAACTCTGAGTTCCATCCAGCGCCTTGGACAAGGGTAATCTTATCTCGTACACCGCTGAAGGGCACGAGTTGAGATAGATAAGCCGGATCATGGCAGGCAGCGTACAGGATATGGCTGCACGCAGTATCTTCGGAGGCGATCTTGAAATGTTCCCTGATCTTGAATTTGGTGCCTTCTTCATCTAGAGCATCAACGAAGTCGAAGAGGCTGATGGCTCGGGTGAATGCAGCGGAGAAAGGAGACAAGGATCGTTTTTCCAAACCGACGAGTTTGGACCTTGCAAGTTGCTTAGACAGATTCGTCAAGTCTGCGTAGATCTTGACATGTATGCGAGCCGTTCGGGCTTGGGAAACGCTTTGTTGGAGGTATTTCTCTATGGCGTCGTTCAGCATACGAGCAGCGCGCATTCCGCCCTCTTCTTTGTCGCGAATAAATTCATCATTGAACTGGGATCTGTTAGCGCGAAATATGTAATATCATGACGATACTGACGATGTAGTTGTTGCCGTCTATTAATACCAAAACGTATGGGTTGCGAGCCGTTGTTGCCGCAGCTATGGTTGGTATAGGTATACCTGGAGGCGCAGAGATAGTGCTGTTGCCTTTCTGTTCATAGGCTCTTTTTAGGTCTTTGTAGTCATCGAGTAGTTGCCCATACTCTCTCAGGAGGTTCTGAGCGGGGTTAGCGGAATGCAGATTACCTAGATAGTGAGGACATCTCGGTATTGACCTACTGTGAGATCATTTTGCCTGGCCTGATCATTAAGTTTGAACTGCTCCAGATGCGTATCTAGCGAGTCGATCTTTCCGTCGGCTAGCATCTTGATAGTAGCGCGTCGTCGGTGTTGACAGTCAACGCGTTGGTGCCTTGACGGGTAAGTCAGCCAATTGTGTCGGGCAAGAGATACCTATTGGAAATAACCCACGGCGATTGCGAGTCAGATCCGGAGGCATTTAGGATATTCCCATATTTGCAAACAATTAGCAAGTTGTTTCCGAGGAAAACGCGTTGACAGCAAGCCATTCCGCGACGTGGGGCGGGGCTCCTGCTCCGCCTGAGCTAGCGCGAGGCCTCAGCGTCAGGGGTCAGCTCCGCCTCCTTCACTACCCGTTGACGTGACTAGCCACACATCACGACTGCGGTAAAACTATTTCTTCCGCTTTGATGACTATCACGCATCTAGGCATCTGAACTGCCTGTAAATGCTCGAACACAGTGACGTCATTAGCAGGTCACAGCCTGGAAGTCTTGTCGGTACTCGAAGCTTACCAGCGTCTAGAAAGTCCACCATGTATGGTAACTTCTCAGGTATACGTCGCAGGGCACTTCACAACTATCCAGCTGTAAGATCTGGTCTGGAAATGGTAAAGTCTTGAAGCATTTGAGGAGCAACTGCCTTTATGATATATGACCGAACCTTTACTAGCATCCTATCTAATACATGCTGCCGTAATAATACCCTCGTTGCCTTGAAAGCCCATCCCAAGCAACCTTTCCACCCCGTCTGTAAACTACCTTGAAGAGTGGGTATCATCCCCATAAACACCGTACAGAAAATACAAACAAGAACAGAAAAACGCATCCAACAAGACCGAAGTCTAGAAGAAACCACAAAACATTACACAAAGAATACAACAGACAATACTAAAACCGCCTTACTTCTCAGCTGTAGGCGCCTCAACAGCCCTACTCGTTCCATCAACCTCCACAATCTCAATCTGCCTGCCCCTCCCCATCCCCGGCCACTCTCCACCAGAGCCACGCTGCTGCCACACCTTATCGACCTCGCTACTCGGGCTTCCCGGCGACGACAGGCCCTGCGAGGAGAACCCTGGAGAAGGAAAGCCCATGGCGTTATACTCAACCATACCCCTGGACTCTCTTTGATGAAAAGCACCAGTAGAGCGGGCGGTATTCCGTGCTTCGGTTCTACGCCGCCGCCAGGCGAGAAAGATGACGAAACCGATGAAAGAGAGGAAGAGACATGCGCCGATGGTACCGCCTACTATAGCGCCTAGACTGGGTTTTGAAGAGCTGGAAGAAGAGGCAGAATCGGACTGGGACGTAGGCGTGTTGACTGGGTCCTTCGTGACGGTAGCGTAGACTGTTTCTTTTTCTGGGGCGCTGCTCGATAGACTCATGCCCAGGCTGTGGTATGCGGTGCTGGTGAAGCCGCTGGCTGCGCAGCCGTGTTGCGTGAGGACTATCCTGTCGTAGATGACGTGGTATGCATAACAGGCTGGTGCGGAGCTTTCTGTGCATTCCAAGATAAAGGCGTTGGTTGAACAGGCGGCGTCTGTGCAGGAGGCTGATAAGGCGGTGGATGGGATGCAAGTTGTGGCTAGGTTGCATTCGGTCGTTCGGGATGAAGGGCAGCAGCCGAGTGCGCCGAAGACCTTGTTTGAAGAGCATTCATCTGTTGGGTTGGGGCAGGTTATTGCGCTGACTATTAGATGTTAGTGAGGTTCAGAAGTAGATGGAGGATGAGGTTACCTGAGATGCCAGAGCCAGAGACATATCCACAAGTATTAGCTCCGCCGTCCTGCCGTCTGGAGAGATCGAACGGCAACTGTGGAGCTGCCGTAGGTGCTGGACTCCAACCATCCATCGTCGGAGTATACTGTGTAGCCTCAGGTAACGAGAACGCAGCCGCATATACCATAGTCGATCCTAACAAGGCAAGAAGAAGAAGTGTAACCGCCATCTCGATTCCATGTGCGCAGCTCTTTAACTAAGTAAACAAATCACCCTCGAACCAGATAATCAAGTATGACAACGGCCAGACACCAGAGAACGTCGTGCACGTCGAGTAGTATGAGGTGCAAAAGGCGAAGATCGCTACGCAATGCAGCAGACTATAAGAAGCCCACAACATCTTACGCGGCTGAGTGCATGTGGGAGGGAACCCAGCACCCTAGCAACACATGTTGCGGCAGGGTAAGCTCCAGAGCTTCCCTGGCTGTAGAAAACGGGCCATGGCCCTGGCGATCCAATCGAAAGCGGTTTCGCCTGGCGATGATGCGGGTGAGCTGGGGTAGCTTCAGGTAAGGCGTCGCATTACACCCTTCACCTCTTGCTACATCAGTCCAATCACGTCGGGCATTTTCCGCCCTGGACAAGACGTGTACGCGGTGGGCCAGTGAGGGGGTTGGGCAAGGTCTGGTGTGCGGCCGGATGGAGTTTGGTGTAGGATCAGGTCGGCTTGGGGCGCAGCAGCGCATTGGTAGGTGGACTGGTGGGGTGTAGAGTGAGTGGGTCTAAGCCTGCATGTGGCGTTGGGCGAAAGAAGGTAAATATAGCCCAAGTGAGCACGATGCACAGCATAATTATGCGGGATGACGAGCGGGGTATAATACTGCAGTAATCCCTTAGTTCAATGCCTTTAGCTATTGGGCGATGAGACGGACAGTTGACCTTTAGGCCTGCGATGAAACATACAAAGATGTATTGCACGTGGATGCACGTGGGGGATTACATGCACTGCCTGTTTCGGCAGATTGTGGTCGTAAAGCTGGCTCGCTGTTGCATCATTGAGTGGTAGTCGGTCTGGGAAATGAAGCCAACAGACAAAGCAGAGCGGTCGTACGCGAAGGGTCGTCCTGCAGTTAGGCTAAGACATCTGACGGCCAAGGCCAGGTCGTGGTCTGAGGCCTCCCTTGCGTGAGCTTTGATGTGTACGTAATGGCTCTGATAGATGTTTGTTTTGGATTCAAGATAGCATGCCCGACTCTTCCTAGATTCGTCTATATACAACGATGGTAACCATAACGCCTGTCGATGAATCCATCGACTTGAACTCCCCCATGATGCTGTTTCGTACGGGTGGCCGTCGTAAGGGTATACATAATGTACAAAGGAATGCGTGGGCGGTCTAGTCCCGCTTGTGGGGGCCGACGATCTTGGGGTACATTCTTGAGAGGTGGTAGTTGATGTTGTTCTTCTTCTGGTTGGGGTTTCGCTATGAAGGGTTAGACGTGTTTGAGAGTTGATAGGAGGTGGACGTACTGGCGCATCCATGCATTGCCGTAGTTTCTGTTCAAGCTGTGCGCAGCCTTGCACACTGTAGCCGGAAGATGCCCAGCATCCTGTAGCCATGTCAGCCCAGATTCGTGATGCCTTCCCCATCGCATTCCACATGGTCTTGCACCCTCAATCGATATATTCCAATCTCTTCACATACCCAAAACTGATGACATTGCTCCTAAGCATGGGTTCGCCTCTGGCTTGTTCGGTCGGCGGACGCGGAGTTTTGGCAGTGGTGGGAGGGGTCGGTGCGTGGCCGACTGGACGGCGGTGCCTGAGGGCTTCGGTACCATCTTGTAGGTGCGGTTCGGGGGATGAATGCGACTTGGATGCGACGTGAGTGCTGGTGCTGCACAGACTGCGAATGGCGATGGCGTCGTCGTCGTCGACTCGGTGGATTCAAAAGTTTCCGCCGCGGCAATCTCCTTAGCGTGCCTGCCCCATCCTAATCCCTGTCCGGCTTTGTTTACGATCGCACCTTCCTAGCGACGGAGGCCAACACAGACGACACCCTCGTCACGACCATACTAACGAGCCTACGACACAGTTCCCATGTTTGCGCGCCATTGATCTATTCATTACAGTAATAATACACGGCCGACGTCATGGTTTTCACTCCGCGCAAGCGCGCCGCGCCCACAACAACCTTCGACAACACCTGGAACGAGACCAATGCGGCATTTCTCGACCCAAATGCGCTGCCAGTTTCCAAAATACCGCGAGGATGGGAGAGGAAACAAGAAGTAAAGAGGGTGGGCGAAGGAAAGGAGAAGAAGATCTGGCGCAGATTCAATCTCAGGTCGCGTGCCGACGACACACCACAGGAGGCAGAAGACGAGGAGGAACGAGACGCGCGTTCGAGACCAGTAAAGAGGCGGCAGCATATGAGCCCAAAGGCTATGGAGAAATCAACGAGCAAGCTTGGCGGCAAGAAGCGCGCGTTCAAGGCGACGCGCTGGGACCGCAGGAAGAGCGTTCTGCCAAGTACGTTACTTACGCGCATGACTGCGACATTCGCTAATTACTTGTAGGAAAGAGAGCGAATCAAATCGAGGACCCCGCTATCGGCGCAAACGACGAAGTCGACAGTGAAGAGGAGGGAGAACGTGCTCATACCGTGGAAGGCGAGGATAGCATCAACGAGACAGACACAAACATAATCGAACAGACAGAATCATTCGGGGGGAAATCTTCCACGTACGAAGAGACATCGACTTTCACTTTCGCAGTGGACGCGCCGACGGCCGAAGCTACCGATTACGAGATCGTAGACGCAGACGACCAGGAACAAGAAGAAGCAGAATCCACACAGGACGCGACGCTTGCGAAGCTATTCCGCTCGCCACCAAGGGAGCAGCCGAATATCGCGACCGCATCGCCGGAGAAGGTCGAATATCCTGAGCTTCCTCTGAGCGACAACTTGGAAGCAGAGGCGGAGACGGCTATGACCGAGGTTGTATCCACCGAGATGATCGGCAATGTCGCAGAAGAGACGGATCAAGGGGAAACAATCTCCGTGGGCGGAGGACCCCAAGAAAATGTTGAGATCCCAAACGAGGTTCTGAAGCAACAAGACGAGACCATGGATGAAGAGGCGGACCCGGTTTCAGAGACACCAGAGCCGGTGACACAGCTTCAATACCCAGCGTTGCCGTTGGAAGATACTACGACTTCGCCGCTACCAGCGCTGGACGAAGACGTTAGCGAGGAAGACGAGGAAGACGTTGAGTTATCTGAGGTTGAGCTAGGCACATCGACAGATGCAGTTCCGAAGGAAGATCTACTCAACTCCCCTGA